GTGATAATTTTTTTAATTTATAATCCATAATTCCATTTGTATGTAAAAATCGGAGAGTAAAAGTTAGCTGCTAATGGTAGCCACCAGAGTTATCGCAGCTTCCGGTCTTGGCTATGCGGCAGTCTCTCACACACACACATGATGTGGGAGTTCCCCTCGATTCCATTGGCTCTGATGGTTAGAAAGAGATGTCAATCAGCAAAATCGAGCAAGGGGGGCCAGAGATAGGTCAAATCCACCCAAATGACCCCAGAAGTGGGTTTATTTTTGCTAAATCTCTCTAAAAAGGTCAAATGTCACTTGTTTTGCATCAATCTTGATTCAGGGTACTTATTATATGTTGTAGTTTGGATTCCTAAAGCTTTTAGTCTGCCATCCCATCATTCAAGGGTGGTTTTCACTATAAGTAATTTTTTTTGGACGGACACAATCATTTACATTTTTTTACTGTGTTCAATCTGAATTTACTTTAAAATAAAAACATCTATATTGATTCTGACACTTCTACATCCAACTCACAGGTGTAACCTTGCTTTGAGAAAAAAGATTATTAATTTAACCCTTTTAGAAGGGAAGTTATGGTCATTTGTTCTGGGAATGTCATTTTCGAGCCTGAGACCTGAAAAACAGGCTCGGGGCTTAACAGGAAGAAGCTATGTGCTGTATCAGAAACAATGAGCAGCGTGTTTTGGGAGTATTATGCTGTGTGTTTACATTAGCAAGCATGCTAACACTCAGCTAACCATGGAGCTAACGCTGTAGGCTACTGGAGAGAATATGTGTAACGTAATGTCCTTGTGGTAAACCCTGCGAGAGAGAAAGGTTTGAGCTCCATACTGTTTCAGAAATAATGCTTGAAGTGGTTTGGAGCATAATATGGCATTTAATCACCGCAGCGTTTAGCTGAGTTTCTCCCGGTAGAAAACTCTCTTAGCAGGGGAAAGCTGCATGACGCTACAAAGGGGCGTGGCTAGCAGCAGCCGTTCCATTTAAAGCAGAATCAGCCTTTTTGGAACAGGGCTGGAATAGAGGGGTATGAGCAGTATGAGGTATGGCTACAATGGGTGATCTGTTTGGTATTGTAAGCAAAAAACTTCACAGACCTGTTTTGTATAGGTATGGCCCTACAATATATTTTTCAAATATAGCATAATAGGTCCACTTTAAGCTGCAGTAAAAGCAGACATTCTGTCCACAATGACTGGGTCAGCAGAAATAGCCAGTCTTTGATCAGGCTGTAAAAAATAAATAAAGGAAACAGCTGTAGTTGTGCGTGTTGTCTGAGTACAAGCCTCTCCCCACTCAAACATCATATTGTTTCTGTCCTCTCTGCATCGCCTCTCCCGGGCTTTAGGGAGTGACCTGAATCTGAAGGATGGTATGTTGCTTTAGTCTTGCTGTTTGTAATTCCAGACACGTTGCATCAGATGATCAGATTCCTTCAGGCTTTCAAATCCAGATCTGATAAACCGGCATTCAACCTTTCACCTCGCATCCACCTGCAGCTGTTTGTTTTCCAATCGCAGTGGAGGCAGAAGATGAATCAGCATGAATAAATCTGAGCTGATTGGACATCATGACATACCACAGTGTTGTTTCCTTATCAGTATATGAATTATGCAACAACACAAATATGCTGTAACTCTGATGTTGGTGATTAAGCAGCCCAGATAGATTTCTAGGAAGACAGGTCTGTTTTTAAACTTTAGTAATACTCTTTACTCTGATAGTGGCGTCAAAGTAAAGAGGCTTTTCGGGTGAAATTAGTCTATAATGGCTGAACAAACAGTGTTGCATTTATGCAGCTGGCATTATCAGCAATCCAGGAGATAACATGCCTGTTTTTACTGGAGGATGCAACGGGAAATGAGGACTTGGGTAGGGGATGGTGGGAGTGAAGGGAGGGGTGTACATGAGACCATTGTGAACTTGGACATGTCTGGGTTTCCTTAGGCCAGCATGACTAATTCACACACACATACACATACACACACATACCCATGGAGAGTCATTGCCAGTGAAAGTTTGTGGGAACTTTGCTTGGACCAATGGAAATCAATGGCACAATTATAGCATTCAAAGCCTAGTTCCCTACAGACGTTAGGTATATGGTGTAAATACAAAAACAAGAGATAGTTGCTTATATCTATATATTTATTTAAAGTTCCCGTGGGGACTATTTCAAGCTCAGCAATACAGTTGACATAATGCCTCGTGTCTTTGTAAATTGGGACATTTACATTCCAGTCTTGTTCTCAGGCCCTCATGCTGCGCTCCCCATGACCATTCTCCGGGCAAGTCCCTGACACAGTGCGGCCGCAATGAAATCCAGTTAAAGTTTTCTGACTCAGTACATCAGGACCTGAGGACCGAGAGGCAGTTGATAAACAAGTCAAAATGGTCTTGTGTTGCTGGTATTTGCCAAAAAAAGGGGCTTGGGAAATGAGTTCACATTAGGTTTTATTAACTTTTATTGTTGTTGCGAGAACAGTAATTGATTACAATTTCACAGCTTGAACAACACCAGGGAATAGAAAGCATGTGTAAACAATGTGTTTAGGCTTAACCTCATTTTCAGGTTCATATTTGTATTGTGTGTCTCTACTGTGACATGTTCACATGCTTAAATGTTCAAAAGCTCTTTATTTTTCTCATACTGCCTGTGCTGCAGGACCTCTTTTCACCCTCTGTTTGAAACCAGAGCTCAGCCTGCTTTGATTGGTTTGCTGGCCGGCTCTGTTGTGATTGGTCAACCACTTAAAGATGTCCCGCCTCTTAGCCTATTATGTACAATGTGTCGGTCAGAGCGCTAGCCAATAGAAGTGCAAGTGTTACATAGTGATGTCTTACATTTTGGAGACCAACTATATAACACACTACAAGAAAGGGAAAACCCCAAAAAGCACAATAGGTCCATTTCATTGAAACACTTTCTGCTAATATTCTATCTGAGTATTCTCATACTTGCTCCTAATGCATCCTTCCTGGTCGAATCAGATCTTCGTTCCATACATTTTGCATTAACTTAGTTCACTTTAGTTCATACAAGGAATGCATTACTGTATTATACCCATACCTAATGTGAAATAAATGTACTGTAGCTGTGCAAGCTGCTCTGCTGTCACGGATGATCTTTGTTTCGCTTTGACATTTTGAACATTAAACCATCAAAACGACTGCTGCTTATGATTAACACTCAACAACTCTTCCCCCTGACATCCATTTTTCACAGAAGATAAAGTGAAGATCAGTGGCGGCGCTAGGGGGTGGCTACCTGGGCTCAAGCCCCGGATTTTTTTTTTTTTTTTAAATGTCTCGGGAGTAATGTGCAGTACCGGAGTCCACCAGAGAGGCAGCCGCTGCGGTACATTAGCCTGCGTACGGCGTAGCCTTCCCTACCCTGAAGAAGAAGTGATCCTTCCTAGTGCCTGACGAGTTTTAAGCTAATAGTAATAGCCTATAGGCCCTGTGCACAAGATGGCGTCTATCAACTTCCGGCGGCTAGGTGTGCGGCTGAGTACTTCCGGTTTGAGTACAGAACTTTGACAGCTTGACAGTTTATGTCACACCGAGAGCAAGAATGAGCGGATTTCGGGGTAAAGAAAAGCGATTGGCCTTCCAGCGTGTAAGAAAGTCGGCACTACATTGCTGTGTGCCCCTTTGTACAAATTCGTCCCGTTATCAGAATCAGAATACCTTTATTAGTCCCACAGAGGGGAAATTTGCAGCGTTACAGTAGGAAAGAGCCACAGACAGCTTAGTGTTGAATATCTTACATGCGTTAAAAAGTACTAAGTTATAATATAATAAAAAATATGCTAAAAAAGTACTAAGTTATAATATAATAAACAATATGCTAAAAAAAGATAAAAAGTTACATAATTTTCAAAAATACAGATAAAAAACAAATCAAATCTACAAATCAAATCCTGTAGCAGTTCTTAGGATTTAGCAGCCCGGTATATATATTACAGTTATTAAAGATGGCATATGTATATAAAGTATATATTGCACATAAAGCACATATTGCACATAGTTTGATGGTATTTAACAGCAGCAAGTTACACAATGTTGTAATCGGGAGATAAGTTTCCATTAATTTCGGCAAGCCTGGGCAACAACGATTAAAAGATTTCTTGCTCCCAAACCAATTGTGTATTTCATTACAAAAAGCAGTTATACCATACTATGTTTAGGTACTAATTAATTATATCCTCAAAACAAACGCACACACAAATAACAAAGGAAAATACATAATTTAATAAATCCACAATATGATAACATTTTACAGATTAATTTAATAAACTTTTACAAAACATAGGTTGATGTTATATCGGGGGGGAAAAAACATATTTAAACATTTCAATTAGTCTGCATATTTAAGTAATGCTAGTTTATATAACAGATGAACAGATGTACAATATCCAGAAAGTAGATGCAAAAAATATATATAATGTGTGCATTTCCAACATATAGACATTTTTATTGATTGGGATAAACCCCTTGAGATGCACCATCTCGTTTTCAAGGGGGTCCCGACAATAGCAACAACTTACAGACATACATAAACAAAAAGACAAAATGCAAAACATGACAAACCACATACAGTCTGTTAAGTAAAATTCAAGCAATGCACACAATCATTACAATTTGAGACAGTCAAGCAAATCAGTTTCATCAATATCAGTTATAACAAGTATAGACCAGTTGAAAGTGAGATGATAATGCATGTTTAAACATACCCAATGATGCAACAGATCTAATAGCAGCAGGTAAAGTATTCCAGTCTGTTGGGGCTTTAAACATGAACGCTCTTCTGCCAATCAATTTTTTGCAGAGGGGACAGAGAAATAAATCTGAACAGAATGTCTAACTTGATGATTTGGTGAGTAGGGTACAAAATACTGCTTTAAATAAGGGGGATAGTTAAGATAAATGCATTTAAATATCAGCTGAAGCCAATGCGTGTGTCTTCTTACATTTAAAGAAGGCCATTTAAGTTGGTTATACATTGTGCAGTGATGTGTACGAAAAGGACAACCAAGAACAAATCTGCATAATCTGTTGTAGGCTATGTTGAGTGGAGCAAGATCTGATTTATGTGCATTTTGGTAGACAACAACAATAGTCCATAATCTGAAGAATATCCTCTGAAAGAGTGTTAGTCGTTGAGTTGAGTAGTGAGCCATTCGTTTTTTTTCGTGGTGCGATGTCTGCTGAGAAGTCCTTGTATACTTCGCTGACTTGGAGGACATCTGGGTCTGGCAGCTCCCCCCGCACGGCCTTGTAACGTGTACTCCTTTGAACATGTTTATATGATAATCAGGACTTTAAGAACAATTTTACACTCAGACAACAATCACAAAGTTGTCGCAGGCTACATACAATTACTTAGGACAATATATATTACCTTACATCGTCAGCAACTGTAAACTGCTTTGGCATAGTGGAAATGAACACTATGTCACTCACTCTGCCTGGTTTCACACCCTATTAATTACACAAAAGAATTGTCAATTTAATTGAAAAGGTCGTCGATGCAACATACTAAATCAGCTCTTGGCACAAAGGAAATACTCATTAAATCGTGGATTGGTTGTGAACACATACTGTACTTACCTTGGTTCTTGTTAGGGTTAGGGTAATGTTGTGAATCGAGTGGCCCATGGTGGTGGTGGGGTTATGGTATGGGCAGGCGTATGTTATGGACGACGAACACAGGCCACTCGATTCACAACATTACCCTAACCCTACCCCTCACACCAGATACTGCCTGGTTTTCGGACCCCCCCCAGACCCCCCCCAATAAAGCAAAACTGCACGTTTCAGAGTGGCCTTTTATTGTGGCCAGCCTAAGGCACACCTGTGCAATAATCATGCTGTCTAATCAGCATCTTGATATGCCACACCTGTGAGGTGGGATGGATTATCTCGGCAAAGGAGAAGTGCTCACTATCACAGATTTTTCAGATTTGTGAACAATATTTGAGAGAAATGGTTATTTTGTGTTTATAGAAAATGTTTTAGATCTTTGAGTTCATCTCATGAAAAATGGGAGCAAAAACAAAAGTGTTGCGTTTATATTTTTGTTCAGTGTAGCTAGCTACCAGTTGATATGAGCAAATGTATTGTCACTATGTAATCTGTTGCAACACGTCAGCTAGCTGGGCTTATTTGAATCCTAAATCACAGGTTACCTACTCTTGCCACATCAAAACCCCAGAACATGAACCTGATTGAGGCTTTGAACCGATTAACACTTTTTATTTTCCTCCCTACTCTGAGATCGTGAGGCTTTTCATGCTTTCTCATGGACCTGTAACAGCTAACCCTGACGCTCACTCTCCCTGAAGGTAGATCTTTGTTTGAAACTGTGGGGAATTGGATATCATTCATGTTATCCAAAAAAATGTAATAGTACATAATTAAAACGCTTTACACTGTATCAAGACTATACATTTGTCAAAGTTAGCCAGTAACTACAGCTTTGTTTGTCACTTACCTTCATAATTGTCGACGTAGCTGTATATGTAGCTACATCTTGAACCCCTTTTCTCTTTTGCTCCTCGGGGCTGAGCCTGCCGCTTGTACATCACTGATGTTAACCTTCGGTAGGTCTTGGAGACATCGAGTGTAAAATAGTGCGTATATAATATCTATACGCTATCTATACGCTATCTCTCTCGCTATCTATACGCTATCTCTCTCGCTATCTATACGCTATCTCTCTCGCTATCTATCGCTCTTCCCTCTACCGCTCTACTGTAGACCGGAAGTTTACAACCGCACACCCAGCCGCCGGAAGTTGATAGACGCCATCTTGTGCAACTAGCCCATAAAGTTATGGATATTAGAAAGTTATTTTCATCGAAGCAGGCAGCAGCAGCAGTATCAGCAGCTGACAACAATGTCATCACCAGCAGTGAAGAAATGGATGATGTTTCAGGTTTGTGAATCTAATGGTGATATCTGCACTCTGGCTGACTGAGTAAGAAGTGAAAAAGAGTGATGTACTGTAACGTTAATCTTATAGCTAGTAAACATGGAGTAACCAAGGCAAGGCAAGTTTATTTATATAGCACCTTTCAACACAAGGCAATTCAAGGTGCTTTACAAAAATGAAAGACATTCAGACAAAGGCATTTAAAAACAGTAAAAGATAATAAAAGAAACATTAAAAGAAAAAATACATGAATAAAAAGTACATGAATACAAAGTTACAGTGCAGTTTAAGATATGAATAGTTCACACAGAAGTTCCACTTTACTGATGAACACAACAGCTCAGTTTCAATTAAAAGCAGCGACAAAAAGATAAACCGCACTAAGTCAATACCCTTATATGTTAGTATGTATACAGAACATGACTACAAATTATTCTAAGATGTAACGTTAACCCTGTAATATGATTACATCTCTCCAGAGAGTCTGAGAGCCCCTTGGGATTTCATCACATTAATGGATCTGAGTTCAACACAGAGCTGTTACGGACGGTGACATATTGGCCCACTGCCAGCACAGTGCAGCTGAAACCCCGGCCTCTTCTCTCATGATAATTGGCAGCATCATGATAGGATGCATTAGACATTACTGATTGTATCAGGACATTGTGTTTTTGAGGGCACTGAATTGCCCTGTTTATGTGATGTTGTCTTTGGAAGAAGTGAAGCCGACCATGTTCTTTATGCTGTCAGCACCTGAAGCAGACAATGTTGGGTTTCCACCTGGGATAACATTAATGATGTGAGGCTGTGTTGATCCCGTAGGTTAGAAGCAGCAGATACAACAGGGGGAATGAGTTTTGTCTCTTGAGGAGAAGTGTACTTTAGCTCCTGTGGTGACTCCGGTAACTCTGGACACTCTGCCCAATCTCATACTTCTTTAATCCTTCCCCAGCCTGACAATGCCTTCAACTAATGATTTATCGGAAGAGTATTTATCACAATTGTCACCCACTTACCTACTCATCTGGTACTGTGATTTATGGCCCACCACGACCAAGGAAAAACAAACGCAGAAGTTAATAGTTTGAGACAGAGATTTATTGAATTGGGTCAGAAACAGAAACAAAATCCCTCCAGTTATTGCCAACCATACTTTTGCAAAAGAGAGTAAGTGTTTCTTTGGATCAGTCTTATCTGTTGTTGATGAAAATGGCTTTAAAATATGGAGACATACTCTGGTGTCCAAAGCCAACTTTCAAGTAATAGCTTTTCCACGATACAACAACACACACTATGGTTTTGTATTCAAACAAAGCCACTTGCTTCTGTTTTATGAAAATTTACTCAGTGCTTCAAGCATTGGAGAAAAGTCACCAGTCACCTTTGTGTGCCGCCTCTAAAGAAACCATAAGGAATGAGTGAGCTCTGACACTCTGATAAGAGATCATCAGGTCAGTTTAAATGCTTTGTGAGCGGGTGCTAAATGTAGTTTGACTCGCATGGATTGGACTTAAAGTATGACATTTATTTTGTTGCAATGCTGCTTGGTATTTTGTGTCACAATTTCCCTCAGTTGTAGTAACATTTTAAGTCACCAAAATCAAACACAGCAACGTTGATGAGCTGATCTGACAGGTTATAAAAAACCTGAACGCTCAACTCAATTGTCGACAATAATTCCATAATTTCACAGAAAAACTGTGTATCATGCACAACAATGCCAAGTATGGTAGTTCTGAGTTGGACCAGGAAGTCATTCTATAAATTGTGACCGTGATGTTTAAAGCAGACAGTTTTGGTTTGGCACTGATTTAACTTTCATCTTCTAAATGATGTTTTCTAACCTAAAACCCAGGTCCTTTTTTCTGTGAGATAGTATTTTGAGAACACATTTCAGCTAAGACTTTCATTAATGACTTTTTTTCTCTGTCAATATTATAATGACTAATGATTTGATCCAGAGCAACTTCGAAAAACAAACTCAAAAAAGCAAATATCTTGCAAATACATTTGCTTAAAAAAGTCAAACATTTCTAAGTGCTACAAACAAAAGAGAGAGTATTTTTGTTGGTATGAATATGATTTTCCGAATTTTGAACAGCCGTTGAAGCAAAAACAAACACATTAAAACATTTGAATATGTCTGGGTCTTATTTTCATTCCTGTGGGTTACGAAAACTTTTAACTTTGCACATCTTAGTAATTGTTGATATCTGGGGAATCAGGGTCGTAGGTCAAGCAGCTAAACAAGCAATGCATGCAATACCAGATCACCACAATAAAGTAAGCAGTGGTGGAAAACGTATTTAGATTCTTTACTAGAATAAAATAATAAGACCACAGTGTAAAAACCCTCAATTTCAAGTATAAGTACTGCATGGAGAATGGTACTTAAGTTAAAGTTTTGAAGTACAATTAGGAAAATGTACTTGTCATGCTTTTCCGGTTATTACCCGTCCCCTTGTGTGTTGTGTAGCTTTTTCTGCATGTAAACGGTCTGCAAAGTCACAAACCCTCAAAGTACACCCTGTAGCGAGTAAACACAGAAAATACCTGTCTATGCTGCCCCAGAACGCCTCGTTGGAGATTTCTCTTTTTTCATTTTTTCCTTCCTGATCATCATAGTGACGTAACGGCTCCTCACACACACGCACTCACTCAGCGGCTCAGCCTTATCTTTTCTCAGCCGCGGCTCCGCAGATCTCCGCGGACACAGTGTGTGTGTGTGTGTGTGTGTGTGTGTGTGTGTGTGTGTGTGTGTGTGTGTGTGTGTGTTGTGTGTGTGTGGTGTGTGGTGTGTGTGTGTGTGTGTGTGTGTGTGTGTGTGTGTGTGTGTGTGTGTGTGTGTGTGTGTGTGTGTGTGTGTGTGTGTGTGTGTGTGTGTGTGTGTGTGTGTGTGTGTGTGTGTGTGTGTGTGTGTGTGTGTGTGTGTGTGTGTGTGTGTGTGTGTGTGTGTGTGTGTGTGTGTGTGTGTGTGTGTGTGTGTGTGTGTGTGTGTGTGTGTGTGTGTGTGTGTGTGTGTGTGTGTGTGTGTGTGTAAGCAAGCTGAGTTCCGTGGTGTCTCGCAGAACCCGCAGAAACTAGGAAACAACACCAGTAATCCAGCTCACGCGCTGTCCGCTCCTCGAGCCTCACAGGGCGCCAACACAGCACCCAGACCCCACGCAGCATTCTCATCTGTTTGTCGTTACTGGTGTCGTTTTCTGATTGCTAACAAACGCCATTGTAACACATAAACACACATCAGAGCATAGGGGAGGGGGCGGCAGGAGCTCCAACAAGCCGTTTAGGACAGAGAGTGAATACACATACTACACAGAGATGCTACATGAGAAACCAATGTAAGAAATCTTCTTGTAGAACTCAACAATGGAATTATGATCAGTAGAAATGTCATGGGACCTTTAACAGTGGCCTCATTCAGTCACAGTGGAGTCATGTTGACAAGCTGCTTCAAAGGCATCGGATTGATCTGTGAGATCAAACCAATATCATGTCTGATCACTGATACTGTAGGCAAATACTCTTAAGGTCAGGTTAAGGGTGTGACAGGCTGGAATTAATTCCCTCCTAACCTACTTCTCAACACCTCGACACTCCTCTCTTATGCAACCGTTTCAACACCTTTTTTGGTTGTTTTAAACCAACAATGTGAAAGGAAATGTGGTTGCTCCAGTTTAAGTGTGAACAACCCACTAATAGTTTGGTCCCTTGAGGCATAGACTGATGTTGTTTTTGCGTTATAAGGCCACCAGTCAGTGAGTGATGTTGGATGAGATGGACTGAAACAGAAAGTGCAGCCTCCTCCCTGACACTGTGAAACAATCTGTCTTAATTACAATTTCTCGTGTCATATTCAAGAACTAGTATTGATGCTGTGTTGTTTAAAGTACTCTGGATCTTGAGACAGGACTTAAGATGTGAAGCTGTAGGTAAAGGATTATACAAAGTTTACAAACAGGCAGGGCCGGCCCTAGACTTTTGGGGGCCCTAAGCGAGCTTGGGGGCCCCCCTCACTCTAGCGCGTTCTCACAACACGGAACCAACTTTTGTCTTATGATGTTAGCATAAGCACACATATTGTATAAATAAGCATGTAAACACCGTGGACCTAACCTCCTCTAGGGGGTCCGGGGGCATGCTCCCCCGGGATTTTTTTTTTTTTAAATATTGAAGTTAAAAGCATCAATCTGGTGCACTTTGAGAGCAAAATTAAGAGATCTATGGATACATCTCTCAACACCCATATGAAACAGAACTGTAAACAGATTTTTCTTTATGGATATTTTACAAATCACTTAAACTGTATTCTTGTTTTGTCATATAGTATTTCATAACTGTTTTTCATTTATTCTCTCTGGCTGTCCATCTCATAATGTTCACATAGAATCTAGCTGTCAATAGGAATATCATTCAGAAGAATTATAATTTCTTGCAAATATCTGTCACAAAAAGAGGTTGCACATTTAAATTCAGGTGTTGTTATGGCAACGTCAGTGGCCAAACAGCCACATTTACTGCTGCAAATACGTTCAAACATGCTGTTGACACGTAAAGCAGTGGCAACTATGCCACCATTTCAGCTGACTTTTTCACAGAAATACTGTCACATAACATCCATATATTTCAGTGCTAGGTTGATGC